AATTGGTGTGAGCAGCAGAGCTTGGCAAGTGTGGGCCCGGCCCTGGGAACAACAGCCCGGAGAGGGCCGACAATGGCCACAAGACAATGGCGGCAAGTTCTGAAGCGCAGCAGCCCACAACAATGGCCCTTGGGAGGCAGCCAACTTTGCGGATTTCAAAGCCGAGGAGAGGGGCCCGGCCGCAGCCGAGGCACAAGGCCTGGAACATCTATCTAATCTGCCAAGGAACAGAGACCCCCATCGATGCCACCCACGCAACCCTGTTGGGCGAGAGGGAAGAAGCATTGCGTCCAAAAATACCCAAAGCATCCAAAAATATCCAAAATCCCAACACACGCCTGGTCCCAAGCATTTCGGATAAGGGGGACTCTACCTGTATACTTTTGAGCCTTGGAGATTTAGAAGAAAATCTCACACAGGCTTCGCTCCAGCCTTGACTTTGCCATTTTATATAGGGGACGCCATTTTACTGTGCATGATATTTATTGGCGTGATGGCATGAGGACCACCATACAGGTGGTGATGCAGCATCAGGCAAAATGCATTGTGGTCGCTTTGGGTTTCCAATATAAGACCAAAGATTATTTATTTAGCACATCTAAATCCTGACTGACAGTCCCTCTGGCTCACATCTCTCTCTCACTTTCACTCTCACTCATCTCCTAACTAACTCTGACCCCGATTCAGCCTAATCCCTGACCCTGATTAACTCTCCAAACATCTCTCTTTTCTCTAATTCTAATGGACTCCTCATCCTAGCCGTGATGACAGACCACACTCTCACGCTGACAAAATGCCATGCACACCTGCCTTTGGAAAAATCCCCTTCGCCATCCTGCCAATCCTCACCCATCGCTCCCCATATACTCTCATTGCCTTCCAACCGATCCTTACTGTGTTGCATCTCCCATATGCTACAGCCATTTATCGAATAATGCAACCACATTCGGCATGCTTGGGTTGTGCATTCCTGCATGGCAGAGGGTGGCCCTCGTGGTCCCTTCCAACACTAAGATACCACAATTCTATGGTTTTGAGTTATTCTTTTATTTATTTATTTATTTATTTATTTATTTATTTATTTATTTATTGGCCTGGGGGGAAAAATGTTGATTTGATGTCATGATTCACTTGGGGAAATGAAAAGCTGTGTCCCTAAATAGCAGTCCAGAGGCTGGGAGCCAAGGAATCAGTGCAAAACTGGGGGACCAAAACCAATATACAGTACAAGTAGCCTGGGTTCAAGAATAGGGCAGAAGGCCAAAACCCACTGCAAAGATAATCCAGTTTGAGACCACTGAACTGCCCTGGCTCAATGCTAGGAAATTCTGGGAACTGTACTTTTGTGAGACATTTACATGCTACATCCATGTAGCTCTAGTGCCATGACAAACTACAATTCCCAGGATTCCCTAGCACTGAGTCAGGGTAGTTAAACCAGACTCAAACTGGATTATTTCTGCAATGTTTTGGCTCAGAGTCTCCAAGTCATCTCTCTTAGAATCATAGAATCCTAGAGTTGGAAGAGACCCCAAGGGCCATCCAGTCCAACCCCGCTGCCATGCAGGAACTCCTAATCAAAGCATCCCCCAACAGATTCTGAATCGATGCTTGGACTCCAGAATTAAAGCAATTTGACACCACTTTAACTGTCATGGCTCAATGCTGTGGAATTCTAGGATCTGTAGTTTTGTGAGCTATTTAGCCTTCTCTGCCAGAGAGGTTTGGTGCCACAATAACAACAACAACAACAACAACAATAAAATACAACCGGGGCGGCTTACACAATAAAACAAACAATCCTGTCCCCCAATAGCCCCCACCCAAAAAAATACAATTAAACAATCAAAGTTTAAAACATATTTTAAAATAACAGACTACAATAAATGACAAATAAATTAAAATAACTGTAGTGAAAGTCAGGGTCAGGCATAACTTTTTCGGTGGCCAACAGACTACAAATCCCAAGATTCCATAGCATGGAACCAAGGCAACTAAAACAGTGTCAAACTACATTATGTAGCAACAGTATGAAAACAATTTTATGCATAAAACAAAATTTGTGTACACTGGACCATCAGAAAGC